AGGGAAAATCAAATACTCCAGTAGCAATGGCCAGTCAAAACGATCTGGTGATATTTATGCCTTTTTAGATTCATAAGCATTTGTTAGGCCTCTGGTTACAAGTACAATATACTCTATATATATATATATATATGTCTTTTTAGGTCAGTCGATATGTAATATGTGCATATAGCAACTCTGTTTACTAGTATCAGATCTCATCGCAAGTCTCTTTGATTATTAAAACATTCCACATTCGTCATGGCCGCTTGAAATAATTTTCTTAAAAGTCACTGTTTCACAAAATGTGCTGAGACGGCCAGCAACCTTTGCACGCCTGCAAGGCAAGAACCGAGAAAAACATGCATTGTAGCACCAGGGAAAGCTAACAAGATTCGTTTCCCTTTCACACATTTTGCCGTCTGTGAATAAATTTCAACAAATCGGATTCAGTAGGAATTTGAACTCCCTTATCACATTCTCAGGCTGCAATTCCTTTAGTCTAAATCCGTGTTACCATTCTTCTGAAGAACTACATACTAATATCCTTCTTGCCTTCAATCTCTCTGTCTCGATCTCTGGTTGTAACAACTAACAAGATGAGCTTTTTTGTTTCTGTCACCCCCTCTGTTTCTGATTAAAATGATTAATTGAGCCCTCGGTTGGTGCTCGTAGACGCTTTCAGTCCCATACCCTTGTAAGAGGTGCCAGGTACATAGGCTCCTCCCATAGCCCCTTTCCAAATGAACCTAAAACTGGTCTAGCACTGTTGCCCTAGCTAAGACTATTTTGGTGAGAAGATCACACTACTGCCGTCCATTTCACCCAAATTTAAATTCTGTGATCGTTCTATGCTGGATGTCCTCCATCCCCGCAGCTCACGAGATGTGTCATCCTCAAGTCTTGGATGTGATCATTTTGCAAGTATCTTCAGATTATCCGGACAAGTAATCCTTCCTCTTTGCTCCCTCAGTAAAGAAAGTGTTACTACTAGGCTTATAGAAAAGTTCTGTTCTTGTACGATTTTCTTCGTAATCCATGACATAATTAATAGTGGTAGACTTTGTTGTCTAATCCAAGGGCTGGGGAACAGAATATTTATTTTTTTTATTTAAAAAAAATATTAGATTATATTTATTTTTCAATAAAGTTAATTAATTTTTTACAAATTATGTGTGGAAAAAAAATCAAAACCATTGAAGCTGGACGGAGGGAACAGAGAATTTTGTGGGTATACGAGTATGACCGTTGTTGTGGCTTTCTGCCTTGGTAAAACGCGGTTGGACGCTGTTATTAGCGGTTCGTTCGGACTTTGGACGTGATCAACTGACCATGGTAGGGTGAGTGCGGGGCCATGACTGAGGAGAGGGGTATTTTTCTGGGCAAAAACTTGGACAGATCTAGTTTTATAGATCATGTGATTCAAATTTTATCATACTATCAGTTCATGAATTGGCGAGATGATGCGGCAAAATTTGGACTACTAGCGGGTCTACTCAAGTATTTGCCATTTTCCTGTTTTTGCAGTGTTTAAAAGAGTTGAAAAGTATGTGCCCAGTAACCAAGGCGCGTTTGCTGGGCTGTGTACTAAGAAATTCGTGGTTTGATAGCATTAAACAGGGGAGATAATTGCACTTTTGCTCCCAAATGTTTAGAACATGAATGCTTTTGGTTCCTAAAGCTTTAAAGAAAGTAAATGTAGTCTCAAATATTTTAATCTCTAAGCACATTTAGTCCTATTTATTGACACCTGCTGGAATCTTGTTTAGTGTTTAGTCCAGAAGTGTAAAAATTCGGTTGACTCAAAAAAAAGTAAGTTAAGGACTAATTACTCTCATAACTAGCATATGAGTTGTTAGTCATCTTTTATTACAGTTTAAGGCTAGCAATATTTTATTAATTTTTATTAATAAAATATTGTTATACATAAAAATTAATAAAAATATTTTATTAATTTTTTATATTATTGGAAACTCTGGCGATGAACATTGAAATTCGATCAAAACTTAAGTTAATTCGTCAAATATAACTTGAAATGATCATGTAAATGGTACTCCAATTGAATTACATCTCTCAAAAATCTAGAGTTTGAAAAGTGTATTAAATTATTTCAACTTTATATTATTGCATAAAAATAAAAGGGACTTAATTTCAAAAACAGAAAAAATATTTAAAATTGTTATAATATATTTGCACACGACACTCAACTCATAAACAATCTTTCATCAGTATGACCGTCCCTGCACGGTTGAGGGCCAAGATTGGCCCTCAAAATTTTGTGAGGCTGAGATTACACCATGTAACTCGATTTCCGCGCCAAGTGTGGGACCCACCACTATCTGTTGTGAAAATACATCCTGTGAAAAAAAAGTTACACGATGTACAAAGAAAGTTACATGGTGTTGATAATGACCAAAATTGACTTCCTACCCAAACCTCTCCTGCATTTTCCACTATCACAGGTTTAACCCCTTTTATTGGTAAATATACCGTTAGTCTAACCACGAGGACTTTCTTTTAGTAGTTTTAAGATCAAATTTTTTTTCCTAATTTTTATAAACAATTAATGTGCAAATAGAATAGTCAAAATCTGAGACAATCTTATCAAAAACAAGACCTTTATAGGTTGTAGATTAGGAGTTCAAACTCAGTACTCTATAGTTAAAATAATTCATTTATATAACCCATTCAAGTTTCTCCTTTCCATTAGACTAAGATATATATAGTTGCTTTTGTTTGTTAAAAAAATTGCAAAACAAAGACAAAAAAAAAAAGAAGGACAAGTGACCAACTTCAGAAGTTTGAGTGTGATTACTAGGCCTTGCTTGGATTGAAGGTTTTCGTCGGAAAATATTATCGTTTTCCGTGATCACATTTCCCTATCACCTTTTTCCCTCACATATATCAAATCGCTACAGTAATTTTTCCATGAAAAATGACGGAAAATGCAATCCAAACACAACCTTAGCTTTTAGTTAATTGACATTTAGATGGCATGAGAAATAGACCAATCCCATGAAGATTATTCAGACACTCCTTTTATTTTCTACACTACTGTTAAGAGGTAAGAATCACTTTATAGTTTTGGAGAATTTTAGACTATTTTCTCAAATTGTTTCCCTCAATGATAGCAGTGATTCATATATTAAATAATTCAAATTATTGTTAAATGTACGTATTTTACAATCTAACAGTAACTTTAATTTGAGAATATAAAACCAAAAAAATAGGAGAGCCTTCCATATTTTTTATGAGCATTTATGCGTCCTTTGTACATGCTTATCATTTGATCTATCAAATACTTAAAAAGAGGGGCTGTCTTCCTTCTAACTCTTTATACAAGTCAATTCGATTCTCTCTTCCCTGTAGTTACTCCCATATCTCAATCCAACTATTAATATAAAAAAAAAAAAAAAAGCTTTATAAAAGAAGCAAGACAAAGTAGTACTAATCCATAATTTGCAGAGTTTCATATAAGTAGGAAAATTCGTCATTTTCATCCTTAAAACTTTTTTACTATCAATTTATACAACTCTATTCGATTTTTTCTCTCTCTCTCTCTCTCTCGCTCTCCCGTAGTTTCTCCCATATCTCAATCCGACTATTAATATTTAAAAAAAAAAAAACTTTATGAAAGAAGCGAAACAAAGTAATACTAATTCATAATTCGTCATTTTTGTTCTTAAAACTTTTTCACTAGAACCAATTTAGTCCATAATAATTTTGTTGACTATTGCAGTCCTTCAAGTTTTATTTAGTGTCCAATCAAATCCTTTTGTGGCGGGGCTACGTATTTCGATATTTCCGTCACAAAAAGTAGGGGTATTATATATAGCTCCGTAAAAATTAAGAATATAAAAATAATGAACTAAGTTGGGGAGAAAAATCAAAGCTTCATTAAAATGGGGTGAAAATAAAAATTAACAATTTTTCAGACATCCCTGCAACAAAGCTTCTTCTTCCATTGATCTCTATTTCAGGCCTGTGGGCTAGCCGAAATTTTCCCACTTCTTCCCAGAAACAATGTCCAACGAACACGCCGTGCGATTTCCCTTGGTTGGAAGTGCAATGCTATTGTCACTGTTCTTACTTTTTTAAGGCCCCTTCGAAAGACTTCAAAGTTTCTGATTTCTTTTCGCAAATGATTGCTGCTATTTGCCCGGGAAGAAAATGGTGGTTGTAAACACTACCTACGCCATCCAAAAGATTTTGAAGTTTTTTGGATATTTTGAGATTATTGTAGTTAAAATTTTTTAAAAATTTGCTGCGGATAAACTTGACAAAAAATTTCGCTTCCGGTCATAGTTTAGAAGTTAAGAAGTGTTGGATACGGATTCGGATTTGGGAGAGATGTCCTTTTGGGTTTAATCCATCAAGGCGTCCTGCTCCGAATGTAGCTTTGCGGACTGATTCTTCTATCAGAAGACGAAGAACGGACCAAGTCTTGTTGCGCTTTTTTGGCTTTGATAGTAGAAAAAAAGCAGCGTGGCCGATTTCTGTCCTTAAGGTCTGTAACTTTGTTGGTACACTGTGAATTTGCGAGGATATAAAAGTATACTTTTAAAGGTGGAGAATGAAAAAATTATTTTATAAATTGTGATCGATGTTTTAAACATTTTTCCTATCCTTTTTCTACATTACAGTTTTAAGCGCTTATCTGCCAGAATACCCTTAATTGGTGTTGGAAAGGAGATACAATGTGGTGACGAATGCCTACATTGAAACAGAAGATATAATTGGATTGAAATGTTTTGAAATAAAATAATTTATTTCATAAATTCTAATTACCTTTTTATCTTCCCAATCATCTTTTTATCTCATATATATCACATCACAAAAAATGTTACAGTAATTATCTCAAATAAATCATCCAAACAAACTACTATCCAAACAAACTCTGATAATAAAAAATCATTAAGGGTGAAATTAATTTTAATGCAAAAGTTCAAGGACCAAATTGGCAAATTTCTCGCAGAAGTATTTGCAATTACTAGTACTAGAATAGACTGCCTGGAGGCCGGAGTACTGAGTTTCAGAGTAACTCTGTGTATTTAATGGAGTATTTGCATTACAATCTCAAGTCTGGTCCTGCCTCCCGGCAAATTAAAAGAAAAGGAAGACGAGGTTCTCTCCTTTGTTAGAGTTGGAAATTGGAGCACCACTTTCTACTCTTTTATATACCAAGTCTTGCTTCCTACTAGTTTCAGGAACAAATATATGCATATCCCATAAAAAAAAAAAAAAAACCTCCAGCGGGCATTCTTTTTCATGTATGTACTTTCTTGTAACCTTGTTTCAAGCAGATAATTGCTGGAGTTTTTGAGTACTAGCCCTGGAATTCTTGTTTAGGAGTTTCAAAGATCTGATCTTTCAGCCCTTAATAGCAAATGTTATCTTGTTAAGCCGTTTACTTCTGTTGACTATTTCTGCCGTGTGCTTACTCTGTTTTGCTTTGCTTGGTCCTTTATGTTTCTGCCTCTTGAGTAAATGCTTATTTTTCTGAATTTGCTTTCTTTTTGTACTTTCTTGATGCCCTGTTGTAGCTTTGTAATCTTTATTAGATGTTGTTGAATTCTCTTTCGTGGGGAGAGAGAGAGAGAGAGAAACATGTACAAAAAAGGTTTTGAATTTGGCTGCACATAGAAATGGTCCTCTGTTTTCTCATCTGCAACGTAAACATGCATGTTATTGCATAAACAAATGCTATTTGTCTGATGGGCGTTTCTGAAAACTGGAATATAGGTTCTCCTAACAAAAAGAGTTGGGAATCGAGCTTTTAGATTCAGCTATCGACCAACTGGATGTAGTATAATGGTTTCCTGGAAACTTTGATTCTAAAGGGTGTTTAGTTGGTTGAAGGATGGTTCTTAATGCCATAACTATTACTCCATTTAGTTTTATTGGTTCAATCCAAATTTTGATTCTTGAGGGTCTTTAGTCTTTCTAAAGATGGTTCTTGATGCCATATCGAGTCCTCCTTTTGCTGATGTCCTATCTCAGACCATAGAGGGCATCATCGAGGTAGTACACACATCCAGATATGTTCTCATTGAGAACAAGAGTTTTGCTCAACTTTCATCTTACTTAGATCGGCTAATTCCCCTCCTTAAGGAGTTGAATCAGAAGGATGCCAGAGATTCTGAAGCATTGAAAATTTTGATTGAGGTTCTTAACCGTGAGACAAAGCTTGCACAGGAACTGATTACCGAGTGCAGCGAAAAAAACAAATTTTATCTCCTAATGAACTGCCGTTTGATAGCTAAGAGGATGCAAAATATTACTAGGGAGATAGGCCAAGCATTGTGCTGCATTCCCTTGGCCTCTCTTGATATCTCATCAGGAATTGAGGCAGAGATTACTCAACTAGTCAACAGTATGCATGCTGCAGAGTTTAGGGCTGCCGTAGTTGAAGAAAAGATTTTGGAGAGAATTGAGTTGGGTATACAGGAAAGGAATGTGGACCGCTCATATGCCAATAATTTATTGGTTTCCATAGCAGAGGCCATTGGAATTTCAACAGAACAAGCTGTATTGAAGAAGGAATTTGAGGAATTTAAAAAGGAGATAGAAAATGAAAGGTTGAGGAAAGATCATGCTGAAGCCATGCAGATGGAACAAATAATTGCTCTATTAGAAAGGGCAGATGCTGCAAGTACTCGTGAGGACAAAGAAAAGAAGTACTTCACAATAAGGAAATCCTTAGCTAGTCATCCATTTGAACCTCTCGAGGCATTTTGTTGCCCAATTACAAAAGAGGTAATGAAAGATCCGGTAGAGACTCCTTCTGGACATACATTTGAGAGGAGTGCAATAGAGAAGTGGTTGGCTGAAAAAAATTTCTGTCCCCTAACCTCAACTCCTTTAGACACCTCAATGTTGCGGCCTAACAAAACTTTGAGACAGTCCATTGAGGAATGGAGAGATAGAAATACCATGATCACTATAGCCTCTATGAAATCAAGACTGTCATCAGAAGAGGAAGGTGAGGTGCTTGATTGCCTGCAAGAGCTAAAGGACCTCTGTGAAAAAAGAGAAATACATCGGGAATGGGTTGTACTGGAGGACCATATACCAATGCTTGTTAAGCTTCTCAGTGCAAAAAGTCGAGAGATCATAAGTCGTTCTCTTCTCGTCCTTCATATCCTGGCAAAGGATAGTGATGAATGTAAGGTACTTTTTACTCTCTTTCTCATGAATCTGAATATCTGATGATGTTTTAGGATCATTACCTAGAAAATAGAACATTCATTTGTCTCTTCCAGTAGAGCATAGGTGTACTATTGTATCACTTGACTTCTTTATAACACTGTATAGATGTTTTAGCTCCTAAGAATTTGACCTGGACAGCCCATACTTGCTATTAGGAAACTTCTGTGCAACTCTGTATTGAAATGAATTTGTTATTAAACTAATAGTGGTTAGGATGTGCACTTAAATTTATCAAACTTATTGTGAGATAAAGCCTTGCACTCCGTAGTCAATATCATGACTTTGCATCCGTGATGTCTGTATTTTACTGGCTGGAATAATGTGTTTCTGTTTCAAACAACGCCCAATCAACGAGCTCTAGGTTGGATATATTGTACAGAACGTTATACATGGATTCCAATGGAATGTTATGCAGGAAAGTATAGTTAAAGTTGACAATGCAATGGAATCTATTGTTCGCTCCCTTGGACGTCGTATTGGGGTAGGGAAGTTGGCCGTGGGATTACTACTAGAACTGGCAAAGAGCGAGTCAATACGTGACTGCATTGGAGAGGTGCAGGGCTGCATATTTTATTTGGTGAATCTGACAAGAAGTGATGACAATCAAGCTTCCAGAGATGCAAGGGATGTGTTAAAAAATCTGTCATTCTCTGATGACAATGTTATACAAATGGTCAAGGCTAATTATTTCAAGTATCTGCTGCAACGTCTTTCTTCAGGTTCTTCTTTCACATAAGACCAGTCATTTTATGTTTGAAATTTTCTACAGGTATAGGACTGCTAGATATTTGTTCTGCTATTATTTGCAGTCACCGTGACGTTGCTTTTGCACAATTAGCTACTTTTTGACAAGTGAATATAGTCCAGATAACTAAAAGCAAGAGTAGCTTCAGCTTCTAAATAGTATTGTCATGAATCCTGAACCTTTACTGCAGTAGCCTTGTGTTTATGATCAACCTCATTTACAGCAGATTATTAACTAGGAAATATAGAAAATTGTATCCATCTGTCCAATGCAGAGGTCGTCTTCACCTGAGAGTTTAAAGAGTTAATCTGCCAGATTTGCCATTCTCTCAGCAGCAGGCAGACAGTATTTGGGTAATTTCAAAATCACAATTTGCAAGATATGTGCAAAAATACCAGAAGAGCAGGATTAGATCTTTAAAATAAAAATACCAGCAAAAATAATCAATTTAATTCATCCCGCGATAAAATGGATTGACGCTAGGAAGAAGACACAATGAAGAATATTTATTTTATTACTTCATGCATACTTCAAAATTGAGAAGAAATACATTACACTAAGAGGGAATAGTACCCCTGTGTTCACAACCTTAGCTCTATGTCTAGTTCTAAGTCCAGTTAATTTGCTTAAGATGGATAAACAGTCAGCTGTTACTCTTGGGCCTTTTGAGCTGTTTAGGGAGTCCTTGTTTATGTTAACATTACCCTAATTAGGTTCTGGTTCTTGAATTAAGGTTGTTCGTGTAGCTTAAATGTTGACAATTGGTACATGTAGAACTGTAAGTTAATATTGTCTATGGATGTGGAACCAACAATTTTGGCACATAATAAGGAGGTCGTGCAGAAATATTAGCATGTGATCTTTGCCTGTCTTCTTTGTAACGCATGAAGCCCTTTCTCTGGGGGTTATGTGGTCATTATCTCCAATAGTGTACGTACTAAGAGAAGTCTCATATATTGTAGTTATAGCAATTATCACTGACTTAAGATCGCAAACTCAAACATCCTCCCCACCCTGGCCCCCCTCTACAGGATCAGATGATGTCAAGATGAGAATGGCAGAAACTCTTGGAGAGATGGAGTTTACTGATCATAACAAATCATCTCTGTTTGAGGAAGGTGTTTTGGATTCGCTACTTAACTTGGTTTCACATGGTAATCTTGAAATGAAAATGGTAGCCGTTAAAGCCATTTTGAACCTCTCGAGCTTAACAAAGAATGGCCAGGAGATGATAAGACAAGGTGCAGTACGTCCACTGCTTGATATTCTTTATTGTCACACATCCCATCGAAACTTGTGTGAACTTGTAGCTGAAACTATCGTGCATCTTGCTCTATCAACTGTACGTCAAGATTCTTCAGAAATGGAGCTTTCCTTATTGGAATCCAACAAGGATATCCGCCAATTGTTTTCCTTGATTAACTTGACATGGCCTGCTGTACAACAGAGACTTCTCCAGGCCTTTTACACCATTTGCCAGTCTCCATCGGCAACTACAGTCCAGGAACTGCTGAACGAGGTTAAGTTTGCTCTCAAAATCCTTTCACTGCATTCTCAGACTACTAAAAGACTTTAATGACAACATCATAAGTCAGAATCTATGTTTAGTGAATAGTTTTTAAACTTGCTTGTTCAAGTGGATAGTTTTCAAAGCTCTATACTTGGTCAACACTCACTAGTCTTGATAAAAACTGGCATTTATTTCCCCAGAATAGTATATCATCAGTTACATGAGAAATGAGCATTTGTAGACTGATTAATGAATGAAATATTTACAATTTGCTTGACGCGTTCTTAAATAAGATTTTGGAGAACAACTGCAGATAGTGTTAGATGCATTACAGTAAGTAGCAAAAGACATGGCTTGGGCATGTTTAACTGTTGTGTTTCTGATCATATAGTTTGCACTCACCAGATTTGGTGTGGTTTAGAGGGCTTAGCTTGAGTTTTAGGACACAGTATAGTATAAAATTGATCTATTCCTTCCAAGGAAATGAATTCCCTTAACACTAGAGTGCTTGGCAGATTTATGGGAGTTACATTGGAGGATGAGAATGATATCAGAATGTTTATGCACATGTCGTACTACTAACTTGATACATTTAGTTATGGTGTATCATGTCTTTTCGTGATGAGACACAGTTTTCTTTTCAGGTATTCATATAGACATGTCTTTTGGTGAATTGATATATCTATGGATTTAATTTACACGACCACCAAGTGCTTTTTTATGAGAAATTCTTTCTTTGCGGTTTTGAAATGATATGTCTACTGATCAAAAGTTGTACGTTTAGGTGTCTTTTATCGACATCTTCCAGTAAAGATACTTCAATTAAAGACATAAGAATACGTAGGAATTGCTTCATATAAAAGACACGAGCAAACATACACTATAACATTCTTTACTTTGAAAAATCTTCCCACATGAAATTTCTCTGTAAGCTCATGTGTAAAACGTGATTTCGCTGATTTATAGTTTCTAAATACTTGGCAATGATCTTTTAAAGAAACTGACACACATAACCTCCGAAGTCTAACTTTTGATGAGTGAACCCATGCACAAGGTTTTTATTTTTTGCTTTGATGATCAAGGAATAACCTGCATAAAAAAATCTTTCCTGTATATTCTTTCGATTGCCCTCTTGAGAAGCAAAAATTTTTGGCACTCCAAACTTCTGGATATTTGATATTGGATGACTCTGCATTCTGTTTCTGTGATCCCATTGGCTTCATGCTATGTTTGTTGTCATGCACTATTACTCACAGTTATTAGCTATTAGTAACAACATTGGGTAATTTCTGCGTCTACTTTTAAGTGCAGAAGATTTAATGTATTTCATTACAGTAACAGCTACAAACATCATTTTATGGATGGTGGGTTTGAGCCTTCGAAATCCTAGAACCTTGTTAAGTTTCTACAAGGATTAATTCATTATCCAACCAACACTCGTCATCCCACTTCTCCTCGTCCTTCTCTTGCAGAAGTTAGTTTTAATAAGTTTGCATGTGATGATACCTGGGAAGAAGAGTCTTGTTACTTCTTGATCAACTGGTGTGGATTGGAGTCTCAATATTTTTATTTCTATACAGTGAATGGAGATTTGGACTTGTGATAGACTGCCAATCCTATATATGCTAATATTTCTCTTAATAATTTTCAGTGCTGTGCTGTGCAAATACTTGTTCAATTGTGTGAGCTCGATAATCATGAAGTGCGGGTGAACGTGGTTAAGCTATTATGTTGCCTGATCGAAAAATGTAATGAAGCTACAATTACTGAGCACGTGGGGCAGAAGACAGTTCAAACCTTGCTTAGAATCATTGAGGATTCTGAGAATGAAGAAGAAGTTGCTTCTGCATTGGGTATTATAGCTAACCTTCCCATGTCTACCCTGGTGTCTGATTGGCTGTTGGAGGGAGATGGTCTTCGTATAATGTTAAGATTCCTTCGTAGCAAAAAGCCAAATGGTCCCTGCAAGGATCAATTAATAGAGAATGCTGTGGGAGCCTTGTGTCATTTCACTGTTCCAGCAAATAGGATGTCACAGCAGAAAGCAGCTGAAGCTGATGTCATTCCGCTGTTGGTACAGTTGCTGGAGTCAGGAACCAGCTTGACAAAAAGACGAGCTGCCATTTCTCTTTCACAACTTTCTGAGAGCTCTAGTGATCTATGTCGGCCAATCCCAAAGCATCGCATGTTCTGGTGCTTCTCAGCTTTGCCAGAGGCAGGCTGCCCTGTTCATCGGGGAATATGTGCTGTAAGAACCTCATTTTGCCTTTTGGAGGCTGGTGCGGTGGGCCATTTGGTGAAGGTTCTTGGGGAGCCAGATCCTGGAGCATGTGAAGCTTCCTTGGATGCTCTACTTACTTTGGTTGAAGGTGATAGGCTACAAGGTGGTAGTAAGGTGCTGGATGAAGAGAGAGCCATACCCTCTATGATAAAATTACTGGGGAGTTCTTCTCCCAGATTGCAAGAAAAAATTCTCACTTCTTTGGAAAAGATTTTTCAAGTACTGGAGATCAAACAGAAGTATGGGCCCTCAGTTCAGATGTCTTTAGTTGATTTGACACAAAGGGGGAGTACCCAAATAAGGCCTTTGGCAGCCAGGATACTAGCTCAACTGAATGTGCTACACGAACTGCCCTCTTATTTCTAGCAGGAGCATAACCTACTTATCCTGATGAGTACAAAAGGTTTAGGAAATCAATCATCCCTAGCAAATTGCTTCATAACCAGGCAGAGGTTTCTGAAGTTGGTAGCAGGTCAGGCCACCACTCGTCATCTCTAGATAAAGATGGTCTTTTATTCATTTAGCAATAAGCGAGAGCAGCCATGGTTTGTTACGTTGGTTACCACCATTTAATCAGGCACAGAGAGTTGACGGGCATCTTATGTTTGATAGTTTAGTGTAAGCTAAGGCGGCTTTTCAGTCGTGGATGTATGCCGGCTATATATAACCGCTGACCTGAATGTCTCTTTCATGGCATCACAAGATATGAGTTGGGTCTAGTTTAACAGCTACCTCTGCTTGTTCCGTGCTTGAATTGTCAATAGAGAAAGTTCCCAAATTCCTGGAGTTCCCAAATTCCTGGAGGCCTTGAAGGAGATACTAGTAGTCATTTGTCAAGCTGGGGACTTTGGAAAATCTTGCCAACATTCTTTTACAATTGATCAAGTGCGTACGTGATTCTGTTGTATGGTGTATAGGTAACCAGTTAGTAGTTTAAAGAATACACTTCCTTCTTGTAGATTTTCGCAGAACCTGATAAAAAGGATACGTTTTATACTAGTGGAGACATGCCCAAAGACAAAAAAACAAATAGCAGTTGAAGTACCTGTGCTTTGATCATAAAGGAATAACGCCTGGCCTGCATACAAATCTCTTTCCTATTTTTTCTATCCTGTGCCCTCTTGGGCTGGTTTCAGAGATTGCTTACGTTTAGGGAGAAAAAGAAGAAGAAGAAAAAGGAAAAAAGGGCGCTCCTTTTATCGAACAGAATAGCAGCAAAAAGAAAATAACTTACAAGTAGAAGCTGTAAAGCCCAGCGCTCCAAAAGCCAACAGATACTTGTAAACTTTATAACCTCGATTCTTTGTCAATACTGCATTTTGTCCCGACTTTCTTATGAACCAGTTGAGATTGAGAGAAATACACGCCAACACTCTCCGAAACGGCACAGACTTCACCGCTTTTCTTGTAACCAAACTCGCAGAAACTCTCGATTTTTCCTACGCTCACAAACTGCTCGATACTATTCCCAACCCAACCGTGTTTCATTATAACAAGCTCATTCAAGCCTACTCCTCTCATGGCTCTCCTCGCCAATGCTTGTCTGTCTACGTCGCCATGCTACTCAGAGGCTTCATACCCAACGCCCACTCCTTCAATTTCCTCTTTAACGCCTGTACCAGTCTCTCTAATCCATTCCATCCCCAAGCGCTTCACGCCCATTTTGTCAAATGGGGTTTCGAATCGGATATTTACGCCTCAACCGCATTGGTGGACATGTATGCTAAACTGGGCCTGCTCAATTTAGCGCGAAAACAGTTTGATGGGATGCCCACAAGAGATGTGCCCACTTGGAACGCCTTGATCGCTGGTTACGCAAAGAGTGGGGATATGAGGGAAGCTTCTCGCTTGTTTTCTAATATGCCTTCCAGGAATGTGATTTCTTGGACGGCAATGATATCGGGCTACTCGCAGAATGGCGAGTACGCAGATGCATTGGCGTTGTATCTGGAAATGGAGAAAGAGAAAGGAGTGAAGCCCAACCAAGTGACCATAGCTAGTGTTCTTCCAGCTTGTGCAAATCTTGGAGCATTGGAAGTTGGGCAGAGGATTGAGGCCTATGCCAAGTCTAACGGTTACTTAAACAACATGTTTGTGTGCAATGCCATATTGGAAATGTATGCGAGGTGTGGTAGAATAGATTCAGCGATGAGATTATTTCATGAGATTGGGAGAAGAAGAGATTTGTGCTCTTGGAATACTATGATTATGGGTCTAGCTATCCATGGTAAATGCAGCGAGGCTCTGGACCTTTTCAACCAAATGTTGGTAAGTAAGAAGCTTTCTCTGAACCTTATACCTGGTCATCACCACATTTCCTGGTTTTTAATGATAGCATCTTGCTTATAACCAGCGACGAATATAGCTTTTTAACTGAGTTCAAGGCCGATCATTTTATCAAATGCACAAGAAATATTTCTTGTGCCCCAAAATCAATTACAGAGACATACTCGGTTATAGGACCAACTGCTACTTCCGAATCTTTCAGGCGGATATTCACATCTTTCCTGCCCTAATTGTAATTGCTGATGCAGGGGGAAGGCATTTCACCCGATGACGTCACATTTGTTGGGGCAATCTTGGCGTGCACACATGGCGGCATGGTTGCTAAAGGACGAGAACTCTTCGAGTCAATGGAGCAAAAATTTTCTGTCACTCCTAGACTGGAACATTATGGATGTATGGTTGATCTTTTAGGTCGTGCAGGAGAATTGCAAGAGGCTTATCATCTTATACGGAGCATGCCCATGAGGCCAGACTCTGTTATTTGGGGGACAATGCTGGGGGCATGCAGCTTTTACGGCAATGTGGAGCTGGGTGAGAAAGCAGCAGAGTCTCTCTTCGAGTTAGAACCTTGTAATCCAGGAAACTATGTGATTCTTTCTAATATTTATGCATCAGCAGGCAGATGGGATGGAGTTGCTAAGTTGAGGAAGCTAATGAAGAGCTCCCAAGTAACGAAAGCAGCAGGATACAGCTTCATGGAGGAAGGAGGCCAGCTCCATAGGTTCATTGTTGACGATAGATCTCATCCAAAGTGTGGTCAGATATATGCATTGTTGGATGATGTCCATGTAAAAATTAAGCTTCTTGGGCATACAACTGATATTGATTCTATTACTGAAGATACAGACGTAACACTATGACAGACGTTATTTGATATGTTTACGTACACCATGTTGAGAAATTGTGAAACCATGTTAGGTACAAAGTTAAGAGGAAATGCTGCAACGCATTATTGCCCATGGGGAGGGGATGAAATTTGTTGCTGATTGGTTCAGTGTAAACTACTGATATTTCTTGCCGTACTTCTACAACTACTGATATTTTTCATTCTAAAATTGAAGGGCGGAATCTGAAAATAGTCAAAGAAATATTTCTTCACTTGTAAACATGATTGTATACAGTTACCCTTGCCCCAAAATTTTTTTTTTTTAAAAAAAGGCATTCAATACTTCTAACCCAGACTGTCATGCAGCCTTGACCTTTCTTCTCTGCGTTTTTCTCCTTCCCGCAAATTTGAGGAGTTCATCAATAAGGATTACAGGAGCTGATACCAAGAGAACAAGAAGCCATTCGTTAAAAGTCAGGGGAACTATTCCAAAAACGTCTGCCAACAAAGGAACATAGAGTATCAGGCAGTGTAGACCAAATGAGACTGACATGGCAAGCAGCAGCCAACAGTTTCTCCATGGAGGCATTTTGATCAAACTAGTATCTTCGGAGAGAGCGTTCAGAGAATTAAACATCTCAATTGCCACCAACACAGATAGGGACAAAGTCATGGCCTTCACTTTACCGACAGAGAAATAGTCACAAGGGTTTGAAAAAGTTATAACACGACCTCCAGCAACTGTAAATGGAGCAGCAACAAAATTTGACCATCCTGGGCACTCTCCCCAGTTGCGAAGCTGAGATAGTTCAACAAGCGTGTGCCCATCACTTACGAGGTTGATGCCCAAAAAGGAAGCACGAGTGTACCACAAAATGAAAATGCCGACAGTAGCTAATCCAACGTAAGACCCAATTACCTGCCAGTGAGAGGTGATTAATGAAATGCAGGTAACTTTCAATAATCTTTCTTTCCTTGCATGCAGATAATTTTGCAGACAGAATCTTGTCATACATCAGACACCACAGAACAATGTAAAATTAGATTATGCAAAAGAGGATAAGAGTTGCACAGAGGACAATTCAACCACTTCCTTTCAAACAGTGGCAACCCAGTTTAGCAGCATAACACTCTTTATCTCTTTCCTGTCTGCTTGAAGGGAAAATATACTGCATCGAGAGGGAAAAAATGTTAAAGAGGATAATGGCGAATACTAACCATGTAGCGGAACAACACCCAAGAGCTTATTAGAGCATCATTGCTCCTCCGCGGTGGTTTCTGCATTATGTCAACTTCAGCTGGGTTAAATCCAAGTGCTGTAGCAGGTGGACCGTCAGTAACCAAATTTACCCACAGCAACTGTACAGGTATCATACATTCTGGTATGCCAAGAGCAGCAGTCAAGAATATGGCTATCACCTCCCCAAAATTAGATGATATCATGTATCTGCAGTGAGAATTCGTTAAAATTCAACATTCAATATATTTAAACAGCTGATGTAAAAATGCGAATAACCTGATGAAAGCTTTCATATTGTTGTAAATTGAGCGACCCTCTGCAATGGCTGATACTATGGTACTGAAATTATCATCAGCAAGAACCATGTCCGATGCTTCTTTTGCAACCTAAAAGATCAATGATTTAGGCAGAACAAGAAAAAGGGCTAGTTACACTACTTCGACTTGCAGTAACTCAGAAATGTCTTAAGCATCCTCTTCTATCATTCAACCAAAAGTAATAACAGGTGAACCTGAGAACTTTGGAATAATACATGCTTAGCATGAAAATAATTAACTTGACAAGTGCATTAATGCAACAAGTGGGAAAAGTCAGCAGACGGAAAGTTAGTTAGAAGCTGTCAACAGTTATTCCATTGGTGACTAACCACACAGTTACTTGAAAATCAGAGTAAGTAGAGAGGGAAGGAAAGAAAAAATTATCTTTCCCGCTGTAAAAAAATGACCTCGTTCTCAATACAACACCTTATTGACCTATTCTCTCATTTTCTTATTTTTATTATACTCTTTATTGTCCTAATTCTTATTATTCTGTTGTCAGTCTTTTCTCTGATCTTTATTGTTCTTAACAGTTCACAATATTTTCTAAATCATTAAATGCATAAAAACAAGCAATACTAATTTACCTTTGACTAGATAATTAAATTTTTAGGATATGGATTGATGAATACAATAGAACTCTATAGTGGGAAAGAGCAATTACAAGTAGAAGTATAATCACTTACCTCTGTTCCGGTAACGCCCATTGCTATTCCAATATCTGCAAGTTTCAGCGCAGGAGCATCATTAACACCATCTCCAGTCATTGCAACAATCTCACCAATCTCTTTTAGCATCCGCACTATTTCTTGCTTGTGTCTAGGTTCTGCTCTAGAAAAAACCTTTCCTCCAGGTTCATTTAATATCTTCATTTGTTCCACAGATGAAAGTTCCATAAATTCTTTCCCACTAAAACTCCTCCCTGCAAGGTCATCATCCTCACTAAACAAGTGAATCTCGCGACAGATTGCCTCAGCAGTGGACTTGTTATCTCCAGTTATTACCATCACCTTGATACCAGCTCCTCGACAATCTTCAATTGCTTGGTGAACCTCCTCACGAGGAGGGTCCTGAAGATATACTTCTATTTAGAGGTACTAGCAAAAAAATCTGGGTTTTCCTTAAGCTGAAATTGCCTAAAGAATATTGAATCTACAAACAAGAGTCTTACCCTTAAACCAACAACTCCAACAAAAACTAGATTACTTTCTATCAAGGAGAAGCAGGAAGGATCGAGTAATTTCTTATATGCAGGATGACCCTCAGCATAATAGTCTGAAAGCTCTCCTAAGTCATCCTTGTATGCCATACCCAAGCACCGCAATCCCTT